CACACACACACACACACACACACACACACACACACACACACACATTCACCATATCACACGTTCGTGCTTGCCATACCCGCACCCCTTCGATCGATGGGCGCCAACCAACCCACCCGAAACCCCTCCCCAAAAAAACCGCCGCCGCCAAAAACGAAAATCGAAAACAGCACTTCGACAGCCACCCACCAGATTCGAACCTCACACTACTAAACAAAAAAACAAAAAAAAATCCAAAAAACAGCACTTCTATCGTTGTCCGCCAAACTCTACCCGCACACTAAGAAACGAAAAGAAAAAAAAAAACCCGAACAACAGCACTTCAACGGCCGTCCGCCGGACTCGAACTTCACACTGGCCGTAAACAAAAAACCGCCCCGGGCCCGGGCCGGTGCGGGAAAAAGGTCTCAGTGGGATGCGTCATGCAAGACCCGCTCTTGCCATTAAGAGTATAAAATAAAGATAAAGATAAAGAGTAAAAAAACAAAAAAAACAAAAAAACAACAAAAAAAGCATGGTTTTTAATTAATTTTTTTGCTCTGTTTATTTTTCTGCATATTAACCTATACATATTTTTTTTGCTGGGACCTTCTATGGTCCTTGCACGGCCGGGCGGCCCGGGCAAACAAGGTGACCCGGGAGCGTGGTCCCATTAGCAGTCGGACTCGGATAGGAGTGTGGCCGATCCAGTGTGACACCGTGTGGCAGCGACCTGCCAGGTTCATTACTATTTTCTGTGCTGAGAAAACAGGACAAAGGCAAAAAAAAAAGAAGAAAAAAGCGGAGACCTCCCACCAGAAATCACAGCAGAGTGCTTCCCAGCCATCAGATCACAAATGATCTAAATGATCTGATGGTGGTGGTCCCAACAACAGCGAACAAAGTAACTGCCACATTTTTTTCTGGAATAAACTCTACTTCTGTGAGCAGTGCTCATGACCCCCTCCATATACTCTGTGATTGAAGGAGGGATCCACCCAATGAGATAATTGCACACAACAGCAAGGAAAATACTGAAAATCTTCTATCTAGTGGGCCTATGGCCGATCCCGTCCTCTTTTGGGATTGGCCATACCCCCATGGGATTGAAAAGATTTTGGCGGGCAAGCCCCGTGTTAAGGAGAGGAGGGGAACAAAACTCTCCGTACTTTTTCGGGGAATACATGTAAGAATAATGCCCATGGGATCACGAGTATGGCATGGCAGGATTCGGGACATATAAAACTCGTTTCTATCCTATCCCCTTGCTAGTGGGATCATGCCCTGGGGGGCTGGCTGGTAGCCTACAGTCTTGCCCCGAACAAAACGCACGTATGTACTATTCAACTTTGAGATCCCTGAAAAAGTCGATTTCTCGGAGTCTCCCCCTGAAATCCAAATAGTATGCATGTTGAAATAATACGCACGTATGTTCTAGTCCAATAGTATTCACAGACCGGTGTTCTATTCAAATAGAACGCACGCTTGCCTGCCTGCAGTGTCGTGCTCGCTTCCAGGTGGGCGCCCTGCAGTATTCCGCTCTCTCTCTCTCTCTCTCTCTCTCTCTCTCTCTCTCTCTCTCTCTCTCTCTCTCTCTCTCTCTGTGTGTGTGTGT